AAGAGTGCATGCACTTGACTTGGGCTCCTCATCCTACTATGCTTGGGTGCCCTCTGCCCAGGGACTGGGACCTACCTGCAGGTCAAAAGTCTGTACGATCCAGAGATGGGCAGGTATGGGACTGGGGAAGTGGTTTTTTTTTTTTTTTTGACAGGCAGACAGTGAGAGAGAGAGACAGAGAGAAAGGTCTTCCTTTGCCATTGGCTCACCCTCCAATGGCCGCCACAGCTGGCGCACCACGCTGATCCGATGGCAGAAGCCAGGTGCTTATCCTGGTCTCCCATGGGGTGCAGGGCCCAAGCACTTGGGCTATCCTCCACTGCACTCCCAGGCCACAGCAGAGAGCTGGCCTGGAAGAGGGGCAACCAGGATAGAATCTGGTGCCCTGACTGGAACTAGAACCCGGTGTGCTGGCGCCACAAGGCGGAGGATTAGTCTATTGAGCCACGGCACCGGCCGGAAGTGTTCTTAAGTACATTAAAGTAGTTACAGACACTTAACTTCTGAAGAGAGAACAACACAGGAAAAATGTTTACACCCATGCAATGGGGGCTTCAATAATAATAATAATAATAATAATAATAATAATAAGATGTCCTCTTTAGATAGTAAAGTTGCTTAAGAGGCAGAACTACAGTATATAATCAAGGAAGCTGTAGAATCTCTACTAGAGGTTTCTACAGAACCCCGGACAGAAAGGAAGGCCTTCCCGAGGAAGCAATGCAGACAAAATTAGCTCTTGAGCCCCTCTCCACGTCCCTGTAGTCTATTTCTAGAAGTAATGCATCCTAAAACAAAAGATAAACTGAAAAGAAAGTCACTAGTGTTAAAATTGGGGTATAATCTCAGGATTTTTTATGTAGGTCACATTTTTGCTCTGAGATTTTTCTTATCAAAGTGATGTCAGAGGGGCTGGCTTGTGACACAGTGGGTTAGGACACCACCCCTGAAGCCCGTGTCACATATGGGTGCCAACTTATAGTGGGTTAGTACGCCACCTTTGATGCCTGCATCACAAATGGGTGCCAATTTGAGTTCTGGCTGCTCTGCTTCCGATCCAGCTCCCTGCTAATGCACCTGGTAAGGAAGCCTTAGCCTTTGCCACCCACATGGGAGATCTGGAAGGAGTGCCATACGTCTAGCTTTGATTTAGGCCAGCTCTGGCTGTTGTGGCCATTTGGGGAGTGAACCAGTGGATGAAAGATCGATCGATCGATTGATCGCTCTCTCTCTGTAACTTTTTCAAGTTTACATAAAAAATAAATCTTAAGGAAAGAATCTTCATTTAACTCTCTGGCAAGCAGCACCTATTATTTTGTACCTTTACTACAAGGTTACAATGGTGATCAATGGGGAAAATAACTATCTGGATCACGAATTCACAATGCTGTGTATGGTCCTTCTCAACATCCCTGCCTGTTAGATCAGACCCTGAACAGGAATGTATTCTAGAGGTGGGGATGGCAGACAGACTAGGTTGGGGTTGGGGAGAATGAGGCAGACAACAAGACTTGGGCAGACAAAGAGAACCAGAGAGACCCTCCAGAGAAGGTCAGGCAAGGTCAACCCCAGCCCTCTCTGGGTCTCTGAGGCACTTGGCCAAGAATGCTCTTTTGGTCTGGGATCTGATGGTTCTTGGACTGCTGCTAGCCAATAGGGGAAATGCTTCCCTACAGTGGGAAGCAAAAAGGAGAACGCACCAGGAGGGAAAGGGGGTAGGGGACGGGGTAGGGAGAGGACATGGTGCACAGGTGGTCTGTGATGTGATGGGACTTCCTGAGCCTCCGGATCCCACCACACCTGAAGCCTCTCAATGACCAGTCTGATGATCCATTGCATTCCTTTTCTTTTGGCTAGCTTGCAACTTTCATCTAAAAGGATTTTAAACAGAACAGGTGTAGGGAAGGTTAAGGGGGAGAATCCCAGAAGATATGGAACAGGAACCAAGCACTGTAGTACCACAAAAGTAAGGGTGGTGCCTTATACAGCAAGGAAACTCTCTTACGTGTAAAGGAGAAAGAGTAGCATTTAGATAAATACCAAGAGAGGGAGAAAAATTACCTACCTGTTAGCCACTGTATTCTCCAGGGCAGTGCAGGGCCAGCTGTGCCTTGCCCCAGAAACTCAACACTTTCTTCAGGATGACATAAAACGTTTCAGATGGATGAGAGTCCTGCTCTACTACCCGATGAGATCTTCTACTACGAAAACGATCTTCTGCAAACTTCCTCTTGCCCATTACATAAATACCTTCTTAAATGTACTAAGACGAACAGGATGTGGAACAAGAAAATAAACCTAAAATCTTATCATGATTTCTTCCCAAACCACTGAGTACCCACAAGTGCAAGATAAGAGGCCAGCATTTTCTTCACGCTATCCCGTCTCCAGGCTCGGAAACGCTTCTGGTGTGGTAACCATTTTTCATTTTTCAAAAGAATGATAACCAGCTGTCCCTTATTCCTTTGCTAGAGCCACACTGACAAGGAGCAATCAAAGTAGCCGATTATCAGAGGGTCTCCCGCTTTGTTCAGATTATAAACGTCAATGGGCATCTCTCCCGGGAGTTCCATGAGAGGCCTGTGCGAGCCCGGCTTGTTGGTAGTGGGTTAAACCACAACGCTGGGTGCTGTGTGTCAGCAGAGACACCACAGGTGGTGACTACGGCTCACCTGGGTGTGCACTTAAATCACTCACTGGGTGGAATGATCACCCCGAAAGGAATCGAGACGGCACAAGTTATAAAACAGGGCGGAGCACATGCAATCGAGTGTGAACGGGTGTGGCAGAAGAGATCACTGCCAGATAGTGGACCTGATTAAAGCTATGGCTCAGGCGTCCCCTCAACCAGGGACTCTCAGTGACAGGGACACAACAGCTAGTCTGTGCGACCACAAAGCTCGGTGTGACTCAGAGGGCACCTTCTCCCTCGGAACGGTCGAGGCCAGCTCAGCGGTGCGAATCCCCGGTGGGGTGGCTCGCTCTGCAGGTAAGGCATGGCCTTGCCTTGTGGAGCTCTTTCGGGGTGGACAGGATAGAAATCCGGAATACTGTGCCATTACAAAGCCTGGATTTGTAATGTGCCATTACAAAGAAGAGATTACATTATTAAATATTAGACACTGACGGCTCTTCTAAGTGCCAGGGCCTCTCGCAAACGCCGCTCACAGACCTACCCAAGGAGCCCTGTATTTCTGAGAGTCAGAGGAAATCAGAAAAACAGACATGGGTCCCTTTTCAGAGCTGTGTAGTGTTTTGCAGTTAGTAAAGAGAAAATGAGTTGTGTGTGTTTGTATGTGTGTGTGTGTGTGTGTGTTTGTATGTGTGTGTAAGTGTGCACATGCATGTTTAAGAAGGGAATTCAGTAGGTCTAGGGGATAAAATGGATAACTTAAACTGCTGCTTGTAATGGAATTGTCTGACATGATGGGACTGTAAAAGCCTAACTGGATACCTCCCGACGCAGAGTCCGTGCCCAAGACATACGTGATGGGTGGATACATCTTCTATAGATTTCTGAGACTAAATATGTATACGTTTATCATCAGGTAAAAATGTTTACAACAAGAGGTATTCTTTGATTAGATTGATAAGCAGATTATGTGGTCCTCCTCGGAGGCCCACTCTTGCCCTGCCTTCCCGCCTCCCTGGGGCTGGGTAGGTGGCCATCATGAGCCTGTTCGTGTGGTGAACATTCAAGGGACTCTGCAGGCTCTGGCTCTGGGTGAATTTAATTCACGCTTTGTCCATCTCTAGGTTAGAAACATGGCTGATCAAGGAGTAACTTCTCAAGGGACACTCCCTACAAATACACCCGGACATCCTTTTCAACCACCTATGGATCAAAACTGCTCAGTATTCAGAACCAAGAAGCTGTGCCTGTACTGAACTTGTGGAGATTTCTTGTTTCTTGCCATTTCCCCCTAAGCCATACAGTGTAACAACTTCTCATATAGCATTTACCCAGCATTAGGTACGTAAGCAGTCCAGGGATGACTGAACGTCAACTGGAGCTTGTGTGTGGCTTACATAAGATCTATACCATTCCGTAGTGGGGGCACTTGGGCAGCTCTCAGTGTCTCAGGGGAGGGGCTCTGGAGACACTCCCACATCGGATAAGCAGGGCTGACTGTAACTCACACTCAAGTGCACAGTGCAAATAGAAGTATTTTCTTTCGGATGATCACCTTAATATTAGATGCAGGGCTGATTTTGCTTCTTTCTTCCAGCCATGATTTTGCCTTTTTTTTTTTTCTATCTAGTTTTCATCTTTCCACTCAGCTATTCAAAACTGCCTTTCCTTTATTCCTGCTTTATTCTTTCATTTTTCCCTCTGACTATTTTAACTGCCTTAAACATACTTCTGAGGTAACGCTTTTAAAAAAGTATTTACCTTAGAGTTATAAAAGTTTATGTACCCTGAAGTTTTCAAATTACTTTTCTATGAGTCATCGGTCCTTGGTAGAAAAAAGTATTTCCCATTCCCTTTTCATACCCTATTCCCTAATCTCCTTGAAATTTATTATTATTATCCAGAAACCATCTCTCTCCCAGAACTCTTGTCTCCACTGTCTGTGTTTTCTGGCACCTGATTCATTTCTATTCTTCTCTTTTAGACATTCTTTATTAGCTTTACATCAAGTTACAGTGAGAACATCAGCTATGCATTCAGCCCTAAGCTCTCAGTTTCTCCCCTGGGAGAAGGAAGACAGAATATGCTGTTTTCTGCCCTGAGCTACAGTGCTTCAATCCAACGCAAAGGAGGTTTTCTAAGGTTTAAAATAAAGCTATGTTAGCATGGACCCTTCCTGGAGTTTCCCACCCCACACAAGGACACTGGGATTAGGTTCTTTCCCGGAAGCACAAGGTAGGAGAGGCAACACACACGCGTGCTGTGACAATCTGCCATGGGTGCCCACACGCCTGCACGCGGTGACAGGTGTATGCTTTCAGCCTGGTTCCCCGGTCGTCCGCACTACAGCTGTCGCGTGGATACTCACTCTGGGATGCAGAAAGGTTGGAGAAAGCGGACTTGGTTCGGCCTGCCAACCATTCCAGGCTTTCGTGCATGTTGGCCAAGCCTTTGAGGTCGCTGACGTCACGGAGGATGTCCTGCGCAGGGATGAGTTTATCACCCAGGTTCCCAATGAGAACTTCAGACTCCTTGCCAAAGGCTGCCCTGAGAGAGAGAGAGATCAGAAACATGCTTTACATTCACAGGGAAAAGGCTGGGCGTGCAACACTGTGTAAGGCATGATTAGCCCTGCACTGTCACAGGCACTACTTAATAGTTAGCACGCTTTTCCCCAGGTTTAACTTCAAGGGAAATGCTCATAAGCCTGCTTAAAGTTATCCAAACATGGAACAGAATTCTTCGAAGAAGAAAGAAGTGACCGCAATGGTTGCATCTCTGACAGCAACTAGTAATGCCTCAGGTGGTGGCAGTCCCTGGGTCGGCTTCTGTGTTGCCCCCTGCTGGGTGTTTTCCTCGCCTCTCCTCCAGCAGTGGAGGTTGATAAATGTCTGAGGGTCTTAAACATGTACTTGGCTTGAAGCTGATTACAGAAAAAAAATAAAACAACCCAGTTAATATGCCTGCTGAAACTATTTTAAATATCTAAAAGCAGGAGCCAGTGTTATGGCAGAGAGGATAATGATGCCCCCTGCGACACCAGCATCTCATATGGGCGCCGGTTCATGTCCTGGCTGCTCCACTTCTGATCTGTCTTCCTGCTAATGGCTTTGGAAAAGCAGCAGGTGACGGCCCAAGTTTTTGGGCCCCCGCTACCTATATAGGAGACCCGGGTGAAGCTCCTGGCTCCTGGTTTCAGCATGGCCAGCCCTGGCCATTGCTGCCAAGTGGGGAGTGAATGAGCAGATAAAAGATACCTCTCTCTCGCTCTCTCCTCTCTCTCTGTAACTCTGACTTTCAAATAAACAAATAAATCTTAAACAGCAAAGAGGATCCAGCCTGCTTAAGGGAGAATTTAGTTGAGATGCACGACTGACTTCACTCTTTTATTCATTTTCTTATTCTAGGAAGGATCTGAGGCAAACTAGAAATAAGAATTAAGACAGTCATTATTTGGAAAAAGAGAGCAATAAAAATCAACGTTGCGATCTTTCTACTACCTTGAAGAACATAACCAGGCGAGATTCAGAGAGCGCCCGGTGTCTTCAAAATGTCCTTTGGGGTTGAAAGGTCAAGTTCCACAGGGTAACAAAGGATGGGGCTGGGAGGGACCCTGGAGGCGTACTGCACGGCCTCTAAGGAGATGGAGAAATAGAGCCTCAGAGAGCTAACTGTTCGGCCTACGTAGCACGTGGGTGGCGAACTTGCGGCTCAAACTGCCTACTTTGCACAGCTCTCTGTTTCACAAAGAGAGAAAGCTAACATGAGAAAAAGACGCCTGCAGATGTGAGGGAGAAAAAAAAATCATGTCTTTTCAGGGATGTTACCCGCAGAGGGCAAGCTAAGGGGTCTCCAGAGGAGGCTGGACGGTTCAGGCCCCTAGAGGGTTTTCCTGAAGTCCCAAGGCTTTTCGGACTGCAAACACCTGATGTGAGCGGAGCGGAGGGCTTTTATTTAAGCAGAATGAGCCAAACTAACTTCCAAGTAAGCAATGATTAATAACCGCAGAAACACAGTCAGAGATGCGTATTGGACGCGCAGGTACATAGCACCTGGCACGAGGGCTGCTGGTCATCGTGGGCAGAAACAACTTTTGGGAATTAAATGCTTTCTCAAGATGGTTATGCTCCTAAGGAGTGACTCAGCATTAACCACATCTCAGCAGCCACAGTGATGGAGTGATCTGGCTAAGTGACAGCTACAGGGGCGGTGAAGAACACAGCACTTGAACCTGACCTGGGGGGCTCGGGCCCCCAGTCCTGCCTTTCCAACTGGTGTTCTGGTGATGCTCAGGCTACTTCTCTGAGAGGATTTCCTCAAACAGCAAGGGCTGGGTGAGGCCACGTAGCTTCCCTGGGCGCTGCTGCCTAGGGGTAGCAGCCCCACAGGAGGCAGTGTAAGGAGTCATTAGGTGGTTTAGAAAGCTTTTGCTTGAGAAAGTTTCAAAAATTGCCAAAATAGAGAAGTGTAACAGATGCCCACGTGTCCGTCTCCCAGCCTCAACTACCAACCACTCACGGTGAATTCTACTCCATCTGGCTCCCTCTTGGAGTATACTGAAGTAAAGCATTCAGGAGATGCCTTTGTGTGCTTAACACACTGCCTGGAACTTGGAAGCATCTAATGTTATTCTTAGGTATCTTGAGATGGCTGCTTTGTTTAGCATCAACCCCAGGTATGTGACAGTGAATACATTTAAATGGGTAAGAGTGAGCGGGAGGAAATTAGTTGGATCTCAAGGACTAGTTAATACATGGAACCTTGGAATACCACACATAAATCACTGGTCTCTCCGTGCAGATCGGTCAGAATCTCAAGAAACAAATTACTGTGACAGAAAGCACTCGCTGCCTACCAAGTACCTATTGTCCCATTTTTTTTTGTTAAAAAAAGAAACTGATAGTTTGAGTCATCATTATGTCCAATTTAAAAATAAAAAAATAATAATTAAAAAAAAAACACAAAATTTCATTGTGTCATGCAGATGTGGTGGCCAATGGGATGCATAAACTAAGACCGAAAGATAGCATCATAAGAAAAGTCCCTCCAGCAATGTCAATTGGCAGGGACCTCCCCAGCCTTCCCACTCTTTGGGATGTGGCCACAGCAACCAACTCTACAGGAGCTCTCTACATGGAAGTCAGTGCTGGGAATCACGGAGCCGAAAGAGAGGAGGTAACCAGCACCCGGATGACTTCCTGGAGCTGCCATGCAGCCCCCAAAAACATGCCTCCGGGCTTCCCGTCACAGGAGAGAAAGTGAGATGCTTTTTATTTAAGCTACTGCTATTTTGAATTCTTGTTACTAGCTGCTAAATGCAATTTCTAACCCACACCATTATCTCATTCACATAAGTGATGTCATCCTCAGAAAACTTTGCTCTGAATTTAGAGATTCCTAAAATCCAGTTCCTGGGAAAAGCAGAGCGCTGTCTCCTCTATGATGTGAGCCCAGAAGACAGTAAGAATATCATTCCCTGGGCTGTCACTCAGTCAAGTTGTAAATATTTTGTTTTCTTAATCTGCCCTTATATATCAATTCTTCCAGCCCCTTAATCACTTTTGAAAGATATAACAGCCACACACAAAAAAATGCCTCTGAGCTGGGTGGTTGAAAAGCAACAGGGGAGGCACACAGCTTTGAAAGCCAGGCTTGGAGCCATTTTTATGCATGTAGGTGTACCCGTGGGCGGAATGTGACAATCAAGACAAATGTGTCTGTGTAGAAGACTAATCCTCCGTCAGGGGATCTCTGGGCCTCGGGCTTGTCTGTGGTGCCCTTCAGGGCTAGCTAGATGTCTACCCGGTTTCCCGTCGGCTCACTGAGATTCCCTTAACTTCCTCAGATGGGAGAGAACAGATGCAGAAAAATACAAACTGCCTCCCATTGAATACATAGTAGACATCTCATTTGACAGAATCCATAATCACCCCCTAACAACCTGGAAGGAGTGCAGGAACCATGACATGGAGGAGAACTGATTGACAGCCAGAAGCATTGTGCGCGCGTGCACACACACACACACACACAATCATCCCTTTGAGGATTTATGTGTGTCAAAGAGCTTGGCGAAGTTTTATATATTGTAATAGCATTAGAGGGATGGCCTTACGGCTCGACTATAAATCTTTTTTAAACCCTCTGATTTATTAAATAAATTATGATATATCCACACTACACAAAAATATGGAGTCATCGGAAATTCTATAGTAGAAAATATTTGACACCATAGACAAATGCTTGGTATAGGTTATTTTCAGCCATGATATACAGCTGAGTAAAATAAAGTGTTATAAACTGTGCTATATGGTATTCATAAGAATTATGCATACAAGATGAAGAAAATATTGGCTATCTAATCCCAAGATGTCCAACTCTGTGATTCAATCATGCTTTGTGCTTTTTTCCATGCAGTCCACATTTTTTTTTTTCCTAAGAAACATGTAAAGTTTTTAACTAAAAGAAAAATTGGAAATCCCAGCACAAATGAGAAAAGTTTCAAACTGGCCCATCAGAATTCCAGCATGGAAAAGTGCAGGCCGTGGGTGTCACAGGGATTTGAGCCAAACAGGGAGGTGGTGGCTGGTGGGCTTGTAGACTGCCCTGGACTTGCGGCTCCAGCGGCCAAGGACTGTACTGCTGGGGGACTCCCACCCAGCGTCCGGATCAGTATTATTTCCCGCTTCTAGGTCTCGAGTTTTACACATTCTTCCTCTTCTACTTATTAAGAAAACATATTATTTAATGAAGACATGGCGTGGGCAACAGAAAAATCATTATGTCGAGAATGTAAAGTAATAGAAACTCAGAAATCACAGGAGCTCAGTGTTTGCTCAAAGATGATTTGACACAGCCAGGAACAGACATCGAAGGCAAAGCCTGCAGGCTTTAGGTGCTGAGCCCTGCAGGGGTAGTCACCCGCAGAGCCGGCTGGCCAACACGCTCACATGGAAGCCTGTGAGACTGAAGGAGTTACACCTGCAAAGCTTAATTTTTGCCACACAGTCAAAATCTTTAAAGAGCTCATTCTGACAAGACTTTAAGAGCATTTTGCCAAGATTGTTCAACCTGTTTAACTTAGTTTTACCACATAATTATAATCTTTAAAGAAGTCTATCTGACAAGAATTCATTTTTGAGAATCTTGCCAAAGATGTATGAAATTGTCTCCATTTAGCTTTTTAAATAATTCTGCTATCTGCTGAAAGAAGGGCAAAGAAATCTGCATTATTAGCATGTTTTCCAGGCAATTGTGAAATAAACATTATAAATGGTTTCAAAGATATTGATTTGCAGATTTGTGCTCTATCTTGCCCTTAATGCATAGACTCAGACCTGTTCCTCTCTCCCTGACCCCTCCCCCAAGCTTTCTACCATTGCTTCCTACTGTTGAGTCCAAGAGCCTAGGACAGCTGCCTGAAGTGTCAGAATTCCACAGGGGAAGGGTGAGCACTGGCTAAGGCGGCACAGCACCTGTCCCTTTGGGGAGCGGTGTCATACCCACACTGTAACAGACACTCTGGGTATCAAACTGCCTCCCTCACCTCA